AGTGATGGTAAATCTATCCTTCTTCGATCAATCAATATCTGGCTTGCATCACACTGGCAACTCACACCAATCAAGAGGGCCCTCGGCCATTCGCTTGATATCATGGGGAGCGCATCAAATCATGTCTACTGCGAGCAAATACAAATTGCAATTTCAAATTTGGACTTCACGGAGAATTTTCAAAGTGTTAGGAAATTCGAGGCCACATGCCACGTAATGCTCTTTTCTCTCCGAAACTCAACATTTGCAAGCCAGACATGAAAGAAAGAAAAAATCATCAGTCACACCACCGGGACTCGACCAGGGACCTTGCTATTCGCGAGCAATGCTCTAACCAACTGAGCTAAAGTATGACTCTTATCCACAGTGATGGTAAATCTATCCTTCTTCGATCAATCAATATCTGGCTTGCATCATACTGGCAACTCACACCAATCAAGAGGGCCCTCGGCCATTCGCTTGATATCATGGGGAGCGCATCAAACTATGTCCACTGCGAGCAAATACAAATTGCAATTTCAAATTTGGACTTCACAGTGTGAGTTGCCAGTATGATGCAAGCCAGATATTGATTGATCGAAGAAGGATAGATTTACCATCACTGTGGATAAGAGTCATACTGTAGCTCGGTTGGTTAGAGCATTGCTCGCGAATAGCAAGGTCCCTGGTCGAGTCCCGGTGGTGTGACTGATGATTTTTTCTTTCTTTCATATCTGGCTTGCAAGTGTTGAGTTTCGGAGAGAAAAGAGCATTGCGTGGCATTTGGCCTAACATTATTATTATTATTATTATTATTATTATTATTATTATTGACTGGTTTGAGGGAAAGAGACAAACGGGAAAAGTCTGAAGAAAAATTGACTGTCACCACCAGGACTCGAACCAGGGACCCTCGCTTGTAGCCAGCGATGCTCTAACCACTGAGCTATGGTGTAGTCGTCATCCCAGCAGAGGCCGTTCAACATTTTCTTCAGACTTCGTAACTCACACTTCCTGTGAATCCACACAGGCGGGTGGGACGCAGCCCTCACTGTAACCCACACACTTCACGTACAAACTAGCACGCGGGGAGCCCCAAGTCATAAAATATTGACTGGTTTGAGGGAAAGAGACAAACGGGAAAAGTCTGAAGAAAAAATTGACTGTCACCACCAGGACTCGAACCAGGGACCCTCGCTTGTAGCCAGCGATGCTCTAACCACTGAGCTATGGTGTAGTCGTCATCCCAGCAGAGGCCGTTCAACATTTTCTTCAGACTTCGTAACTCACACTTCCTGTGAATCCACACAGGCGGGTGGGACGCAGCCCTCACTGTAACCCACACACTTCACGTACAAACTAGCACGCGGGGAGCCCCAAGTCATAAAATATTGACTGGTTTGAGGGAAAGAGACAAACGGGAAAAGTCTGAAGAAAAAATTGACTGTCACCACCAGGACTCGAACCAGGGACCCTCGCTTGTAGCCAGCGATGCTCTAACCACTGAGCTATGGTGTAGTCGTCATCCCAGCAGAGGCCGTTCAACATTTTCTTCAGACTTCGTAACTCACACTTCCTGTGAATCCACACAGGCGGGTGGGACGCAGCCCTCACTGTAACCCACACACTTCACGTACAAACTAGCACGCGGGGAGCCCCAAGTCATAAAATATTGACTGGTTTGAGGGAAAGAGACAAACGGGAAAAGTCTGAAGAAAAAATTGACTGTCACCACCAGGACTCGAACCAGGGACCCTCGCTTGTAGCCAGCGATGCTCTAACCACTGAGCTATGGTGTAGTCGTCATCCCAGCAGAGGCCGTTCAACATTTTCTTCAGACTTCGTAACTCACACTTCCTGTGAATCCACACAGGCGGGTGGGACGCAGCCCTCACTGTAACCCACACACTTCACGTACAAACTAGCACGCGGGGAGCCCCAAGTCATAAAATATTGACTGGTTTGAGGGAAAGAGACAAACGGGAAAAGTCTGAAGAAAAAATTGACTGTCACCACCAGGACTCGAACCAGGGACCCTCGCTTGTAGCCAGCGATGCTCTAACCACTGAGCTATGGTGTAGTCGTCATCCCAGCAGAGGCCGTTCAACATTTTCTTCAGACTTCGTAACTCACACTTCCTGTGAATCCACACAGGCGGGTGGGACGCAGCCCTCACTGTAACCCACACACTTCACGTACAAACTAGCACGCGGGGAGCCCCAAGTCATAAAATATTGACTGGTTTGAGGGAAAGAGACAAACGGGAAAAGTCTGAAGAAAAAATTGACTGTCACCACCAGGACTCGAACCAGGGACCCTCGCTTGTAGCCAGCGATGCTCTAACCACTGAGCTATGGTGTAGTCGTCATCCCAGCAGAGGCCGTTCAACATTTTCTTCAGACTTCGTAACTCACACTTCCTGTGAATCCACACAGGCGGGTGGGACGCAGCCCTCACTGTAACCCACACACTTCACGTACAAACTAGCACGCGGGGAGCCCCAAGTCATAAAATATTGACTGGTTTGAGGGAAAGAGACAAACGGGAAAAGTCTGAAGAAAAAATTGACTGTCACCACCAGGACTCGAACCAGGGACCCTCGCTTGTAGCCAGCGATGCTCTAACCACTGAGCTATGGTGTAGTCGTCATCCCAGCAGAGGCCGTTCAACATTTTCTTCAGACTTCGTAACTCACACTTCCTGTGAATCCACACAGGCGGGTGGGACGCAGCCCTCACTGTAACCCACACACTTCACGTACAAACTAGCACGCGGGGAGCCCCAAGTCATAAAATATTGACTGGTTTGAGGGAAAGAGACAAACGGGAAAAGTCTGAAGAAAAAATTGACTGTCACCACCAGGACTCGAACCAGGGACCCTCGCTTGTAGCCAGCGATGCTCTAACCACTGAGCTATGGTGTAGTCGTCATCCCAGCAGAGGCCGTTCAACATTTTCTTCAGACTTCGTAACTCACACTTCCTGTGAATCCACACAGGCGGGTGGGACGCAGCCCTCACTGTAACCCACACACTTCACGTACAAACTAGCACGCGGGGAGCCCCAAGTCATAAAATATTGACTGGTTTGAGGGAAAGAGACAAACGGGAAAAGTCTGAAGAAAAAATTGACTGTCACCACCAGGACTCGAACCAGGGACCCTCGCTTGTAGCCAGCGATGCTCTAACCACTGAGCTATGGTGTAGTCGTCATCCCAGCAGAGGCCGTTCAACATTTTCTTCAGACTTCGTAACTCACACTTCCTGTGAATCCACACAGGCGGGTGGGACGCAGCCCTCACTGTAACCCACACACTTCACGTACAAACTAGCACGCGGGGAGCCCCAAGTCATAAAATATTGACTGGTTTGAGGGAAAGAGACAAACGGGAAAAGTCTGAAGAAAAAATTGACTGTCACCACCAGGACTCGAACCAGGGACCCTCGCTTGTAGCCAGCGATGCTCTAACCACTGAGCTATTATTATTATTATTATTATTATTATTATTATCCTTGTTCGCGTTGACATCACCAAGCAAGCTTGGCTAGCCTTCGCATAAGCCAAAATTAATGAACAAAAGAAATTAGGAACGAGCAAATCACACATGCAATTAGTAAAGAGTCAAGCTACATTAAGATTCGCTGTTTCTGTTCTTTCCCTTTTTCACCTAAATCTCAGGACGCCGTTCTTACCACTGGAACAAGCATGCTCAAGGTGGAAACTGCTCCATATTGCTTCATAAGTGTGCAAAGTGAGTTTCGAAATGATAGATGCTGTAATTGTGTTGATGCTTCTGGTAGAAGCCGAACTTATGTATACAATAAATGAGGAGGCCGAGGGTTTATGACCAATAAACACTATTATAAAAACCGAGGTCCCCCGAGCTTTTTATAATTAGTTTTTATTGGTCATAAACCCTCGGCCTCCTCATTTATTGTATTTTAGAACTCCTACTCAATCTCCAACAACAAAATTAGTGGACAACTGTTATTTGTGTTGCTATGACAACTCGTGTGCTGGACGAGTATTTGTTGTCATTGGTTCAATTTCCTTTACTCTTCATAGGCTATCAGATCATTTTCCTTATTCGATCTATTTATAACCAGTATCTACACACACACAACAGAGTTTCACGCATCGGAGCGATCATCAGACAGCAGCTTTCATTCGCTCCGATGCGTGAAACTTTAAGTAGTTACAGCTAACACAGCCTTTCGCCTCTGTTGTGTGTGTAACCAGTATCTATAATGAGAGTGTGGTCTGTCTCCATGGTTACCGGTGTTCATTTCATAACTATAGCCACTTCTCCTTGTTAGACCTTATCTGGAAAGCCCATCCTTGCATATTCAAACAGCAGCCAAGGGAGCTAGCTCTCTTGGTTATGCAGACTGGGTCCGATCTTAGAAAGCTGTTTTTATGAACTGTCTTTATGAACTGTTTTTATGAACTGTTTTTATTGGATAGGATATGATTATGTTGAATAAAGGAGGTTTGTGTCAATGGGAGATTGACTTGGAGTTTTTACGAGTTGATTCTAACCTGCCATAAATTCGTGTTCTTAGCCGTATCCATAGAAATACCCAAATCGATCAGGGCTCCGGTCTGGAAATCCAAACACTTGTGCTTACCGAATACTCGAATCATACTACACTGTACTATTGGTGGATACGCACAAGTGCCCGTAGCATCATGTGCTATGACATGGTCAGTTACAGCCGCCAAGCAGTTACAGCCGCCAAGCAGTATAAAATGAGAACCGTGACAATTTACCTGCTGGTACTTGGAAGATCAGGTATGATGTTCTTTCGTAAATTCCTGTCTCCACCCTGTGGTGTGGTTTGTGCTGCTGTTGTTTAGAATGACTTTCGTAAGAGACTACTTTTGTAAGCGACTGTCGTAAGCATCTAATCTTTACTTTGGCTCAGTGTGTATTGAGCAGTGTCTTGTTTTGCCTATCAGCGTTTCAACGTGTTTTGAACACGAACGCTTACACACTCACACAGACTCGCGTAAAGTTCTACCATGGCGGTTAACAGTGTCTCTGTTATTGTCAATGTACCTCAGGCAGTTCGTAGCGTTTCTGGGAAAGCCACCTACACGATGCGATCCTGTCTAGATCAAGGTGCTTTCGCTAATGTTATCATGGCAATCAGGGACAGCGATCAGTTTCAGGTCGCTGTGAAAATCTCGAAATGTCCCGAAAAGAGGAGAAGTAGAGAGTTGAAAGTCTTGGAGAAGATTCGAGATAGTGGCAGTAGCTGTCACGTGACACGCCTGCTGGATTCAGTAACGTGCGTTGGTCATCAGGGGCCGCTTCCGTATGGGATTGTATTAGAGAAAGGAGATACCAATATGCATGACTGGTGGTATAGCCACAAGAATAGAGCTGATCTACCGCCGTTAGTTATCCCTGAGATCGGGCGGCAAGTGTATGCTGCACTAGAGTTTATACATGGCATCATGCTTGTTCACTGTGACCTGAACATGCAAAACATTCTACTTTTCCGTGCCGAAGGTATCATCAAGCTGTGCGACTTCGGTGCATCCAACTTCAACAGCAGCCCACGCACGGACACGTATCGCCTTAATGATCTTCGCCAAACAGCCTGCAAGATTGTCGGCTATATGTGGACCGGTAGAGATCTGGCTAGTCGACCTGATGAGGCTGTGAATAATTTCATTGAAAACGCTACTGATAAGAACGTTCTTCGCGAGGCAATAACTTACGTCATGCCGCAGTTAAGCAAAGGCGAGAAAAGAGTATCGAACAGATTTCTTGCAGATCGTCACTGGTGGCGGAATGAAATTGAAACCAGGCCAGACCTAAGGAAAATGATTCATCGTTTGGTCTACTTCGACATGGGTTTTGGAAACCCGAGCATTCCCCAAGCCTGTAGCAAAGTTCCTGAAGAATTCAGACATCTGCTGGAACTGGGCTACCTGCTTGGCCAGTACAGGGAACTTTCCGCGAAGAATATCCACCGCCGATTCGAAGATTTCCTGCCCAATCCAGCTAGGCAAGCTGTCAAAGCGTATCTATCAACGCAATAGATACCTCTCTGATTGCTCATGACGTCATTGTACAGGAGTATGATTATAGCAATGTTGTACGAGTGTTGTATCCAGACCATGTATTTCCTGAGACTGTTTTAGTTTGCACAAGTAGCTGCATTCTCGCTTGTCCAAGTAATGTGAAGAGAAAATAAATTTTATATAAATACGCAATGCTCTATTTTAAAATGTTTCTGTCTATTTTAATTCGCAATGCTCTGCATCAGAGTTGGATGGAGACTTTGGAGAGTCATAGATTTAGATCAAAAGAGAGGACCAATGGTTTACAAGGTATCCGTTTTGGTCAAACACTACCAATTATAAGCATGATAGACTGGGACAGAGAACGTGCAACAATTGGCACCATACTGAAAGATGTGATACTGACATTCAACGACCTCGACCTGATACTTATCTACAAACAGTGTACATCACATCTTGGAATGCGCGAACCGACAGCCTTCCAGCTTGGAAGGTTCTACTAAGTTAGAACCTAACGTAAGAAAGCGAAGGGTGAGCGCACCCAAGCAGCAAATAGGCTAAACAGCACAGCAAACTAAGAATGTTAGCTGTGGCAAGATGACAAAACAAGACAAGACGTGATGATAACATGATTACGTGATGACAAAATGTGATGTAGCAAAGCATCAGGTCGCTGAATGTCAGTATCACATCCGTCAGTAGTGTGTTGAATGTCAGTATCACATGATCCGTCATGACGTCAGTAGTGTACAAATTGCTGCACGTTCTGACGCACCAGTAAGTACCATGTGTTATAAATTAGTGCTAGTATGGGAGTGGGACACAAAACGGATAACTTGTGAACCTATGATCCTCTACATTTTGTAATCTTGATGCTCACAAGAGAGAGGGGAGAGTCCGAGCTTCACGTTGTTACGATCATCAGGCAACTGAAGTACATTTGTAGTAGCAACTGAAGGCTCCAAAACAGGCAGCCTTAGGGTGCAAGGTGAGAAATACCGAGGGGAATCCCCCCCCCCCGTAGCGTATGAGTCTCGTGCAGGCTGAGGTATATTATGGCACCGCAGGCCGCGCACCTGAGGGCCTTTCTGTAAGCCTTACTCGATCGGATAGAGCGAAACTGAGCACGCTGGGATGCGAGCAGTTTTTAAAGGGGAAGTATACCCTAAAATCAAATTTTCACCAGTTGTAGTCTTCGGGGTGCTGAGTCCAATGGTCTTGGTCCGAGGAAGCTGCGACGCTCCCTTCCTACTTGAATCCCAATCGAACTCGCGCACTTCCACCGAAACTGGGTGACTGCGCCCTACTAGATGGGGATTTGTATGCAAAATGTCACTAAAAGCGCCATTTCGTTCTTATAAAAGCACGGATGACCGCGATTGGCCCATATGTTGTAGTCTTTTGGACGCTGAGTCGACTGGTTTTGGTCCGAAAAGGCTGCGATGCAGCGTTCCTCCTTTATTCCCAATCGAACATGGTTGAAGAAGCGGTCACGTGGTCCTGGTTGCCCAAATCACCTGGTCACCGCGCCAGCAGGCGACAACTTTCACACCAAGGTTCAACTCGAGTGACAGGACTGCACCCAAAAAAGGTCAAACAGGCTAGTAAGTTGTACCCTGCAGGCACGGTGACCAGGTGACTGGTGTACGCAGGAGCACGTGACCGCTTCTTCAACCATGTTCGATTGGGAATAAAGGAGGAACGCTGCATCGCAGCCTTTTCGGACCAAAACCAGTCGACTCAGCGTCCAAAAGACTACAACATATGGGCCAATCGCGGTCATCCGTGCTTTTATAAGAACGAAATGGCGCTTTTAGTGACATTTTGCATACAAATCCCCATCTAGTAGGGCGCAGTCACCCAGTTTCGGTGGAAGTGCGCGAGTTCGATTGGGATTCAAGTAGGAAGGGAGCATCGCAGCTTCCTCGGACCAAGACCATTGGACTCAGCACCCCGAAGACTACAACTGGTGAAAATTTGATTTTAGGGTATACTTCCCCTTTAATACTCCCGGGTCCGAAATCTCACCACCAGGCCGGGCTGATCAAAACGTCTGCCGGGTCTGCAGCCTACAAACGTGGATCTGCCGACACTGTGCTGTCGACGACATGTCCGGCAAGGCACCTTGCATGAAATAAAAGCAAGGAACGTTTTTTTTTAGAAAGGAAGCTTCTTCTCCAAAATTTAAAAAAATTTGAAAATTATTCCTTCTGAAAATATCATCGCGCTCTTGACCTCGAAGCTGACTGCTGAATGCGATTAAGAAAGAAGATTCCTGAACATGCACCAGACTGATTCTGGCAAGCCGTCTGTCGTCTGGATATGCACTGTTGTTCGTCATGGTCAGCAATATTCTTCGTTCGTCTTTTCGTTTTCCTGACCACGATGACAAGCAGCTCTCATGCTCAGGTTAGTGCTACTTGTATGTCTGGGCAAACAACACATCTGAGATGCACCCACTGACGTTATCGTACTGAAGAATGCAGCAAGGGTTCCGCCTCGGATTCTCTTGATTTCGGAACAAATTTCCTTCACTTTCACCCTCTCCGTCTCTTCCCCATGCCCTCCATGCATGCACAATGGAGCTTGCATTTCAAATGTTGTTTTTATACTTTGGCAGTGCCTCTGCTACACTTTCATAGAGAGTGAGGTCCTGTAAATAGGATCCAACATTGTTGGTGGTGTGTGGGGGGGGGGGAGGTAGGTTTGCAGCCAGGATGTAGGAATGACACTTCTGCGCAGCAGGTGGCAATAGTCAGAACTGGTCACTCTACAAATCCCATACCTGCCAACCTTTGCAAACCTGAGATCGAATGACATACCTAGGCATGAAAATGTATACAAATGTAGCTCGCGGTGAGGCATGGAACTAATGCACTTTTGGGTGCCTATTAACGCCCTCGATGTCGGGACGATCCCGGCCAAATCGGGATGGTTGTCAGGTATGAAATCGCAACCGAGAAAACCATTAAATTAAAAGATAAACTCGGCTGGAACGCCGCTTTTCTGGGAATAGAAAATGTGTAATGCCACTTTCGGCTAGTCCTTTTGCAAAAGTGATTCAGTGCCTCCCCAATATATACTATATTAGGCACCTGTGACGTGTGTTTGTCTGTGTGTTACGCAGAAGCGCTGCGGAGCAGCGCTGCCCTGAGCACGCGAAGCGTGCGAACAGTGTAGCTAGCGGCCGCAGAAGCACTGAGCACGCGAAGCGTGCGAATCGTGTAGCCACCACCACGTGCTGAGCACGTGTGCTGTTCATGTACTTGCTTCACCCGCATGCCACGTTCGGCCAGGCAACGCTCTTATCACAGGCTTGCTCTGTTAAACCCAAACGTCTAGATCAACAATTCTATAGACCTTATTCGATAACATGATTTTTGGACTCGCCTCCAGGGATTTGTCGTAAGCTGGGGCACGCGTACGTGAAACAAGTGGCAAGAAAGGCCCAGTTCGTACAAGGGAGTAGTAAAATACCGGTATTTTTCTACTCCTATGTTCCCACGCCAAGTCCTCTGTGCACTGAGTGCAGGTCTCTTGCCGCTCCCTGGTTCCCGGGACCCCGATTCACGTGATTGTGACGTTTATCGAATAAGGTCTATATGCAGACATGCATAAATAAACCCTTCCACAAGGACGGCTCAAACAGGCAGCCAAGGAGTGAAAATTTCACTCCTGTGGCTAGGGGTGAAACGAAGGCCTCAATTTGCCAAATGAACTTTCTTCATCGAAACGAACGAAGGTGTCGAATGATTCTTTTACCAGTTCACAGTTCCTGTTCACACGCACTCCCGGGGGGGGGGGGGGGGGGGGGGGGGGCTACTATGCACTTGTAGTGACACTTACCGTAAGCCAAGTTGCACCTATGGAAGCCAAGTGGAACACGCCTAGTTGACTGTACAGACTACAGTACAGTATACATGCACATGTATACAGTGAAGATCAGTGCGTGCATGCCTGCCATAATCGTATGTTGACCTTCGTTCGAATTGAAAAGAGAGGGTCGTTTCGAAAAGAAAAAATGCTCTATGGAAGTATGATGCTGCTGACAATTCAAGACTCACTGAAGTCGCCTTTCTGGAATGGATCATGCGCTCTAGGTTCATCCAATTGGATATGGACTCAAATCATTGTTACACCATTCTTGTTTGGTTAGTTATTCTACATCCCATAGCATGTACAATCCACCTTGTGAATAATGTACCTCGGGTTTACAAAACAACTCACAAATAACGACACAATCTTCAGATCTAGTGACCATTTGATTGCATACTTCCAATCTCACGAGTAACAACAATACACCAATAACGACACTTTTCTCATTCACAATCGAGGGTCAATATTCCCCAGGTTGACTGCAATTGCCAATCAAACAGGAGGGGCGAAAGTCGACCACGGCTGAAAAGGCGTAAAGAAAATGTATGTTATGAGCTACATGGCAGAAGGAGGAAGTAGGTTTTCTAAAGCAAGAAACAGATGTGAATGAAGCACCAGGTCTGTCCATGCAGTGGATAGAATTATTGTATTGAAAGACAGGCTCTTTACGTCAGCTTGCTACTATTATACCTACATTTGCTTTCTGCCTTTTTCATGCAGGATTCTGAAAGCTGGAGCAGCTCTGTTTACCTTGACCACTGAACTTCCAACTAACTTCCAACCAAGTTCAAGGCAGTATTATGATGAATCAAGCACGCTTGCCATCATTTCGTCATGGCAAAGTACATCGACAATATAGATTTGGTGCTAACTATGTATGATGTAGAGTGTGCTCTATGTATCTATACTACTGATTGGCCTACATTGTACTTATGTGGGCTGAGAGTAATCGATTGTGCTGTATGGCAGTTTACTTGCATGTCATAGATGTTCACATTGCACTCAGCTACTGAATTGCGTTCTGTTGCACTGGCCTACTGCGGCCCACTGCAAATAGATTGTAGTGGCATGGGCCATGTCATAATTATAGTAGTATACTGGTACTACACCAACAGTTTCACTGGTACACTGTACTTACTGGT